TTTTTTTTATGTTGCTAACAGCACTGCCAAAAAAAAAAATGTTTCTTAAGTTTATATATGTTCATTTATTTATTTCTTTATAACCCGTTGGTAAGACTGTACTAAAAATGTACAAATTTGAAAAATAAAATTTATTTATCAAATGTATAATGAATTAAGACTTCAATAGATATTTAAAGAATTTAATCAACCGGCTGCAAAACGACATGAAATGTCTTTTAGTGAACTTCAACGCTAAATGCAAAAATTTTCAAAGATACTTCTCGTGATATTACCAGTTGAAAAGTTTGTCTCTGAATTGAACAGTTTGAATGATTTTGAAGAATGCAATTTTGTGGTGCAACGTATAGCGCTATTGTTGGGTTAAAGCTGTCAAACGACATCGGTTATCATAGTAAAAAGGCATAGTGCCGAATAGTGGAGAAGTATCAACAGGAAGACAGGCAACAGCAGTGAAAACAACGAAAACATCGATGATAAACGACGGTTTGAGGATGAAAATCCATTTTCACTTCTTATCTTTTTATGTTTCTTTTTTTTTTTTGGTTTTATTGAATTTATTTCATAACAGCTATTTTTCTTTTTTTTTTGCAATTTGTTTTTTGTTTTTTTTTTTTCTTCTTATTTGGTTTCAGTTTTTTCTCCTACAAATTTTGTTCTTTTCTTATTTCATTTGGTTTTAGTTCTTTTACTCCCATTAAATTTCCTTTATCAAATCTATTAAATCGTTCTGATTAACACAGATTTTGTTGCATTGTTTCGGTTTTTGTTCATCTGTTGCAGTGCGGTGTTTGTGCGTATGTCTTTTTTTTTTTTTGGCTGTTTATTTTATTCATTTTCTTAAGTAATGACAGAATGTAAAAGAGCAAAGTTAAAGACAGAATTAAAGAGTAAATAAATAAAACGAAAAAAGTAAACTAAATTTTAGCGTAAATAATGGCTTACTTTCAGTTTTTTTGCACACTTGTTTTTAATCAAAAATTTTACAACGTTTTCTGAAATAATTCAGGCAAATAGATGACACAGAAAAGGACACATCAAACTGAACTTTCTCGATATATTGGGGAAAGAAAAGAAAACAAGCGAACAGCAGCAACAATGACGACGACGACGACGACGACGACGACGACGACGACGACAGGGACGACGATGAAAAAATTGGTTGTTGCTTTCTTGAACCTGCCGTTCAGTTTCAACCATTTATGAATCAACAAATGTATTACCAAATAAAAATTTTTTGCTCTTCTTAACCTCGTCGTTGTTGCTATCATTTTTTGTTCTTCAGACAATTCACTTTTCAATTTTCAACTTTTGTTTTTTTTTTTTTCTTTCTAATTCCATTTTGATTTGTTACGAGTAATTTAAGAGGTTAAAAAGCGAAGAAAGACAG